CGTTTTGCAGAAATAAAGCGCCCCACAAGGGAGTGGGATTGTGAAAACGCCCCATGTTCACTCACTACAAAGTACAACAAGCTATGCGACCGCAAAGGCCGAAGTCAAACCATGCCCTTCATCTCTGTCCTGAGATGAACATAGCCAGGGGAAAAAAAAAAAAAAAAAAGGAAGCATGCTTTTCTTCGTGTTTGTTTTATTTTGAGGATCCTGTATCCTGCAAGCTAATCCCTTGGGGTTGCCCGCTGCTAACTGCAATTGCTATTTGCCCACTTCTGGAGCAGGAGGCTGGGGTGCAGGCACATGTATAAGAGAAGAAAGACAACAGGAACAAGATAAATTTGTTTTCAACCTCAGTGTACATAAGTAGGCAAATCGATTGATGGCTAAAACTGAATTAATGTGGTTATGCAATAGCAGCACTGAACCAGAACTGCTCTGAATGCCCTTCATAGCTCAAGTGCAGACAAACGCTCTCCACACCCAATATAAACTCAAAGCAAAGCAGCAAGAGATCCTGCACGCAAGCCTCCTGCTCGGAGTGAAACCAAAGCAGCCCCAAACCTGCATTTCAGCTGCCAAAGAGGCAGGTGCACATCGGGTGACGTGCCTTGACAGACCCCAAGAAACTGCCACAGATAACTCCAAACCATAAGCCAGGCATCTAAATTCCAATAACCAGGCATTTATATGCTTACATACTGCAACTATTCAACTCACCCTCATGTACATTATTTGACAGCTTCACCTTTTTCTTAAAACCCATAAAAAAGGTGAATTACACTGCATACAACTGTGCAACTCCAGCAAGAGGGTATGTTAAAGGCAGGCAGGTATGTGTCCTCTTCTGCTTGCATTCTGACCTGTACCTCTTCTTCAAACACAGCAGCATTAACTGGACACTATACATGTTTAAGCAGTGATCCTAATTTCTTTTAGGTGAATTTCTTTTAGGTGGTATGTGCATTGCTGTGAGTGAAAGCCCCCAGTCTACTAAAGGCAATGGCTCTACTAATGAAGGCTAACTGGCAGTTTTGGTGTTTGCGTGTCCCTATTGTGGAATTTAAGGCTTTACAGAGAACAATTATCCAACCATGGGAAACCCATTTGTTTCCCAAATTCTCCCATAATTACAAATTACAAGCAGGAGGATGGCTAATGCCTGCTCACTACAACATCAAACACTTCCCTTGCAGTTTTCCCACTCTGGGAGGACTACAGCTTCTTTCACTGAATGCTGACCACACAACAAATGCTGTCTTGGAAGTGTAGTGCTTTTAAAAATAACATTAGGGAAAAATATTTTTATTGCTTAGGTAAAATAAAGAGAAAATCCTTAAGATTTAACTGAGAGGCCCCACTAATTCTCTGCTTTGGAGCAGGACCTGCTGTTTTGCAGGGGAGAGCAGGAAGGGAGGTAAGGAGGCTGATCTGGTTTCAGAGCCAAACGTTTTGAGATCAGTGAAAATTGCTAACCCAAGGTGTGAACAATAACCCAAGTTATGAAGCACAGGGGAAAAAACAATCCACTTCTTTTTATAAGATGTCCAAACTTGTGTTTTCAAGTAACTTCATCATGATAAAACGATTGCTTTACCCATGATACCTGGGCAAGCACTATGGATTTTTTCTCTCTCCTTTTTTGAGAAAAGCATCAAAAAATGCCAGAAGGAAATGAAGGCCAAAGGGTTTGCATACCATAGCTTAAATTATGGTTTTGATTATGCAGCAAATAAACACACTGAAAGATGCAGTTACTCTCTATAAAAAACAGAATACTATTGTTTAACATAAAAAAGACACAAAAGTGTTTTTAATTTCAGAATTCAGCTGGAAAAAAATCTAAAAATTCTATTCACATTTTGCATATCCTACAGACAAAAACTTAAAACAGTTTTACTTTAAAGACTGGTCAGCAGTACTTCTGGATGCTACCAGGCTACTCTGACTTACCTGAACTTAATTTCTTTTCACCTTTCAATAAACAAACCACCACAGTTTGGGTCCTAAAAGATCCTCCAGGCCTTTGAGTGTTCATGAGCTACCACCCAACGCAACACGAAGTAAACGTGTCTGAGCTTTCATGGTAACGTCGGGGCATTTTGTGGGCAGTGATTGCACGACTCCTATATTTTGTGTAACACTGATAATGAACAGGCTCTAAAACATTAGCAAATGTTAGAGGTAATGAGAACGGCTTTCCAGCAGCTTTGAAATTACTCAATTTTAGAAAGGAAAATGGCATATGAGAGAAGCATAGTCAGATGGCACATAAAATGGGCACCTCAGGTCACACATCAGAGAGAGACAGTAGTTCAGTGCCTGAGGACTTCTGGTCAGGGCCACAGCCCCTAGATAATGTGTATTGCCCCAAATATTCAGTGGTTTCTGAAATAAATTCACTAATTAATTTTCTTGCTAAAGGATTTTAATTTTCCTATGTGAAGGAAGCCAAATTTTCATATCACAGATGAAACATGAGGTAACCAAATTTCCTAGTATCTTGCAGTGATTTACCCTTCAATTTTATACTATAATCCTGTGCTTAGAAAAAAAATGCATGTTCAAACAATCGCATCTTGAGTTCATACATGCCTGTATATTTTTAGAAAGGAAGATTATCATCCTTGCTGTATACACTTCATATTGACCAACACTTGCCAGAAGATGACTCAACAACTGTTTCTGCAATTTCCGTGCACACATTAAAATGCAGATTTATCAGTAAATAATAAGATCTTCTTTAAAGTATATCTAATAACCTCTCCTCCTCTTCCAGGACACCTTCCAACTACCTACTACTCATAGGGTGGAATAAACCAGGAAAGCAGCAAGGCTCTATGGAAACTTCTAATATAATGTAATCCTACAGCTATAGCACAAAGCATTACCCACAACATAGCGTGATTCAACCTTGAACTTGTGTTAGGCAGCCTGGTAACAAGACAAAAGTTTTCTGGTACTTTTGTGACAAGCAGTATATTCCAGAGGAGAGCAGATAAATTATTCTTGGTCCTGCCCCAAGCGCACCATGTCACGCTGCAGCAGCTGGACCCTGCGGGAAATAACGTAGCCTCTATCCCCAAATTTCCGAACCGACAGCTCCCAAACTGTGAGGGACATTCCATCATAAATGTAGAGAGAAATTACGTTAAAAATGCTTTATTTTCTCAGGTAAGAAATCAGAGCAGGATTCCGCTAGACTTTCTACTTTATCAGAAGATGCGATCAACAAAAGAAAGTACTGGATGGCAGAAATCTGTAGGTCAAACACCTCTTTGGGCCTGATGATGGTGTGTTCAGGTCCCAGGACTCCTGTTCTCTTCTTGCCCTTTGCTGCAAGTTTATCCGGACAGCTCTCCTCTTAAAAAAAAGGAACTTGTAGCATAATGGCAGCTCCAAATAGCTACTTTCTAAAAAGTTCTGGGCTCAGCCGCCCAGATACTACCAATAGCCCAACTACTCTTTGTGCTCTTTTCTGTTAAAGCGGTTCCTCAACCGCAGAGGCAGTACCTGCCCACCCCTCCTGCGAGCCTCGTGCTGACACTGCACCTTTAGAAAAAGGGACTTGCAAAGGGACATATATCACATCTGGCAGACTTGGCAAACCAGCTTTTCCCCTGCAAACACCAAGGAGAGTTACGCCTCTCAGATTTAGTGCTTCCCTCAGAAGGACCTGAGAATGCTACATACACAAACACGGTCTCTGTAATTTATTTTTATTTTGTGCTTAAGCAGGCTAAAGACCGGAGTCTTAGCTGTTAGTTCTGACCACTCAGAGTGTAAGTATTTTAACAGTAGAACATTTAACTGTTCTAAAATATGACTAGTGTTATTTAACATAAAATTATCATGATTAATGCATTACACAATATCTCCATATTTTCTTTATAATAAAGAGGTTGGCTGCAAAATTAAACTTGCACAAATCGACTTGAATGTAATAAATTCCTTAGTCAACAGGTTCACATTATCCTCAGAGCAGCGCAGACCCAAGAGGCACTCCACGACAGCACTTTAGCAAACAATCCTATTATTCATGGATGACTTTAATAGAGTGATTACTAACAGCTGTTTGCAGTCTTGTTACATATGGGAAAGCTTCAAAAAATTACACGAGAAGAACCCCAACTTTTAGAATAATTGAACAGAGAAGGACCATAAGCAAAGCTGCTTAACCCCTTGCAAGCTGTGTTATCCCGGTTTTATATACGTATATATGTGTATATATATATACACACACATATATATTTACACACCCACACTGCCACCTGCAATGATCCACTCTCACCCAGTCCTCACTCAGCACCCACACTGCCACCTGCAATGATCCAGTCCTCACTCACGCCCAATGGCTTCAAAAGTCTTAGACAAGAGTGTTTATTCAATGTGTTCACCAGGTTAATCCAAAAGAACACATAAATTAAAACTATTTTGAAGTCTTCCAATAGATGTAATAGTCTTATCCACAGCCTACACAGGCACCAAACTGACACAGAGATGAGGACTAACGTGGCAAAGACTGGGTGTGATTGCCCCCAAGTACACGATAAGAACATGTAGTTTAACTTTTAAGCAAACAGCCTGATTAAAAATAGTAATCAATGCATTCCTGGATGCAAATGAGAAGTTAATATTCAAAATCAGAAAGCAGAACGTCATGTAACCTGTGTCCTAATTTCTTCATATTTGACCAGTGACTCTGTTGCTCCCTTCCCTGCTCCTAAGTTTTAATTAGGCGCCCTGCAGTAGCCAGTTCTTTTTGTAGTGCTGCAATGAAGCATTAAACCATAAAAGCATCAGGGCTGTTTGTTCACAGACAAAAACTATGCAAACAAACGTTGGATAAGCTGTTTAATGACTGTTCTAAGAGGTTCCACCATCCAGGGTTATTCCAGCCAGCTGTGACGCAGCTTTGAAAACACTAAAATCCCAGAAGGTTAACCAGGAACCTCAAAAAACAGCACTTCAGTTCTCGTTCCCCGCTTAGCCCTACTCACCGGGCTTTGGAGGATCTGCGTGACCCTCTTCCTTTGCTCCATCATGTTGAAGTCCTGCCTCAGGTCAGGAGACATGTTCCTCTCGCGGATATATTCCGGGTCGTTTTCATTGATGCGATCAAAGTACCTCTCCTTATGGGGCATGGTGGCTGCGGGGGGAGTAGTGATCACCACCTGGCTGGCATCCGTACTCATGCTTCAGCGCTGCAGGGCTCTTCCTCTCCTAAAACATGAGGGGAAAGAAGGAAGAGTGATTAAAAACAAAACATAACTTCAAGTCTGGACACAAGCAACGTTCTTCTCAACTCTGCAGAATGATATCTATAAGGAAGCAGAACAGGCAAATAATTGTCAGGAACAGAAAAAAAAAAGAGAAAAATATATTAAAAAAAAGTATTCAAAACCTATTACTGAATTTTAAATGTTGTGAAAACTCTCCCCAACCCTTCCGAACCATCTATTCAAGTTCAGTCAAGAAAACAGCAGCACGCAATTAAGAAGTGACGTTGAAAGTGCCCATAAGAAGTTTTATGGCAATCTTTGCACATTACATTCATCAAGCCTCCCATGGCTTTTATGTATGACCTGTTCTACTTCAACAGCTCTCCTCAGAAGATGGGCCCTCTGTTTGACATCCACCCAGAAGTTGTCTCCCAACTTGAACTAAGATGTTCCCCAACTGCAGCCTTTCTAACCCATCTCCTGACTTGACTTTGAGGATGAAGCTCTGGGTAACCTGGATCTCATCAGGCCTCCAGATGGTGTCTCAGCTTTGAGAAGACACTAGGAAAAATTGCTAAGGAATTAGGGAATTAGCAGAGAAGGTCATACAAGTGGCCAGGACTGCAGTTTCATACCCCCTGAAAATATTAGTTTTAGCTTTTCTTCTCTTGTATTCAGCGGCAGTAAGAAGACCCTCACTGAAGCTCATTTAATCACATTAGAGAAAAAAAAAAAGTTGTGTTTTTGGCAGAAAGCTACACTTAAAACATCATTTTAAAACCGATCAGCATTTGTATATTTGTATACACAAAGAGGAGGATCAAAAGCAGGAAAGCAGATGCCGAATTTTCATACAAAAAAAAAAAAGAGGTTCAGAAACAACAGATGCGAGAGCAGCGCTCTTCACGGCTTCCCCGCTTTGAGGAACGAAGAGAAACAAGATTTGTGGGAAAAGGCAGCCTGTTATAAAAATAGATTTTAATATATTTTATAATATATATGTTATATATTTAATATATTTATGTAAATATACATATTGAATAATATATGTAACATGAAGACATTTACATGCAAAAGTATTTAGTATGCAAATAATTCACATCTCCAGAGGAGGAAAAAGAAGCTGAGCATTAAGGTGCACAATGAAGTACTGCTGGGGTTTGCCATCGTCTGCCCTGGCTCGAAGGGGCTCTTGCTTGGTGCCACCGTGCGCCCTCTCCTTGCATGGGCCAGGGCGATACAGGTAGGACAAGAGGAAATGGCTGCACCAAGCTGCACCAGGGGAGGTTCAGGTCAGACATTGGGAAGAATTTCTACCTGGGAAGAGCAGTCAAGCATTGGAACAGGCTGCGCTGGGAAGTGGTGGAGTCACCATCCCTGGCAGTGCTGAAGACACGTATAGATGCGGTGCTTAGGGACATGGTTTAGCAGGCAGGTGTTGAAGGGATTACAGTGGGACTCGATGATCTTGAAGGTCTTTTCCAGTGATTCCACAATTCCGGCAGTGGAACCTGCTGCTGGCATGAGCGGTGTGGAGCCACCTCTGCCTCTCCCACCACAACCTCGTGCTTTCTCCAGCTGCGCGGCCGTGCGAGGAGCCGGGGTGCAGGTGGTTCCTGCCGGCCCCGCTCAGGGCAAGGGACAGAGCCAGGCTGGGAGCCGGGTGGACCGCGGCGCTGCCGCCAAACACAAACCCAGAAAGCCACAGACACCAGCTGCAGAGCAGCGAAGGCGCTAGCACGTGGGGCCTAAGCAAGCCCTCCCCATGAGCCGCTTGCGTGTTGTAGATCAGCATTACATTTAGGGCTGAGGTGAAAGACAGTTAACACCCTTCTCAGAAAAATCACTAAAAGTTGAGATTGCTTTTGTCTTTTACTAATTTATTTATTTTGCATTTTTTTGAAGGAGCTCATGTTGGCGTGCAATGTTATCTCATTTCACGTGAAGAGCTTCCAGGAGCTTATCTGGAACGCTGGATGAAACAAATCACATTCTGCGATGTAGAAGCCACATCCTCAATACGTGATCCATGAACTCTGATGACTTTGCTATGGAGGATGTGCAAGTTTGGATGAGGATGTGGAAGAAACTGGCAAGTTTTGCATTGCTGCTCCAGTGCAGGCCGAGCTCATCCAGTGTTTGCTGGTGGCTCCCCAAGAAGCCTCCTGAGCAGGACTGGTCCAGGGAGGACCGATTTTGCCAAAGAAATATTTCAAGGTAGGACCTTCCCTTACTGCAGACTAGTGATTTAAGGCCTTCACATTCAGGCTGCAGCTTAGGACAGCATATAAAGGGGAGGTATAAAAGCACCTGCTGAAGAATTAACCATCGTCTTTTACAGCTAAGGTCACTGCAGCAGAAGGACGAACCTCTTGAACACCTCAAAGATATGTTCACAGCATCATTTCTCTGTGTTCAGGCTACAAGAAGAGACACCTTTATGAATACTGCCATTTATTATGGCTCCCCACTGTAAATGCAGGCTTAAGAAACCAAAGGGGAAAAAAAAGCACGACGAGAACAGCAGACCATGCAGACCTCCCTGTGTAAATGCTGCAAGGAGAGAGCCGCTTGACACCAGACCTCTCAACCATCTCCATTTGATATACACTGCTCCACCAAAGTGAGAACCACAACACCTGGTAGTAACTGAAGTTACCCTATAAACGTGCCTAACAAGACCCGTTCTGAATCAGCAGTGAACTGCAATGCCCGTGCCTGGTTTCTTGGTTACTTTTTCTTCCCAGGAGTTACACTGTCCGACTGTTGTTTTTCCAAAATGCTCCTGAATCCCCCTTACCCTTAGTGACGTTTGTTTGGTTGGACCAACCACATGCATGCCTGGACTTCAAAAACCATTTTTTTTAAGTTTACAGGACATAATTAGTTCAAGTCTGCTACTTTACAATACATCACAATACAGTGACAGAAAGGCCCATTCATCTGCAAAGACACACAAATATGTGGCTGGCAAGACTTAAAAATCCTCAGGAGATAGTTTCTAATTGCTTTCAGCTTTATTCTTTCCTCCTTCCTTTCAGACTAATTTGTTACCTCTAGCCATTAAGATTACATTAAAGTCCTTGTCCCACAGAAAAACCCAGTTACTGAAGGTAATACAGGGTTTGGGTCCAGTTGTTCTTATTAGATCCAGTTCAATGCGCACTCTGTAGGGCCCAGGCTGACTCTTGTGTACCCCCTACTGCTGAGTTGGAAAATGTTCAAACAAACCCAGCCATTCTTTTATTATTTTGGTCGTGCACTGATTAAAAAAAAAAAAAAAAGAGAGAGAGAGAGACTTTTGTTGAAAAATATGCTGAGCTTCTAGGGATCCAAAAGTCTGCAGTGCCTTCTGAGAACAGGACTAGTAAGGACACTGAATCAAGGTACTGGCAGAAAACACAGATCAAAATCTATTAATTGCAACAGAGGAGCATCCTCTCCATTTTTATTTCTCTGTTTTTTTTTTTCCTTTTAATTCCGTTGCCTGGAGGCAAATCAACATTGCTGCAAGGCTGTGCAGCTTCTGCCCCTTCCAGCGATGCTCTAGGGTTACTCAAAGTGAGCTGCCCGCCTCCAGAGTGGCATTAGTTAGTGCTGCTTAGGCACGCGGCACTGCCCGGGGTGTCCACAGCAGAGACACGTGTCCTTTACAAAGAGCGTCACAGGTAGGAAGAGAAGGAATAAGAGATTATTGCATCTGTAGCAACTCGACACTACATCTAGACTGGCCAAAATGGATAGACATGCATACACAAAACCATGATCTCCATCCGCTCCCTGCCCCCAGGAGACCTCCAAGACCTCATCCTATCCTGGTGAGATCCATCACTCCTGACCAGCTGACACACAGGCCCATGTCTTGGCCAAACACATACATACTGTCATGTCCATGAAAGATTCAAAATGTACACAGTACCAGTTTTGCCACCTGTTCAACTAACCCCATGCGGAAGTGGAGGTTTCCACAAAAGTATCTAGGAAAATCAGGCTTCCTGTATTTCATATAGAGGTCTGCATCTCTGCAGAAAGCCCTTGTACTTGTGACACCCAGCAGTGCGAGTGACGGCTCTCGTTGCAGAGCTCCTTGTTAACCTCCCTCTGCTTCCTTGGCCTCAGCTATGCCCTCCTGAGGCCCAGGGAACAGAGCTGGTACTTGTTGCAGTAGGAAATGGGCCCCTTCCTCCCTCCGCTGATGCCCTTACAACATGGCAGTTTGGCCTCCATAGTCTGTCATATTTTATATCTGCAATGAGGCTAAAAAAGTTGAAGGCTTTGCCTTCATAAAGATGCATGTCTCACTACTCAAAAATAAGTCTTATTTATCAAAAGCTTCTAATTAATTCAAATTACTTTCAGTCTGACATGTGCTGTTCCAAGATTAAGCTTGAGCTCTCCATCTGACATTTGGAAAATTCTAAGGAAAGTGCTGTGCTGCTTTTGCCAGAATCGCTGTGTTCAAAGTCAAATCAGAGAAGCAGCTCAAGAGCAAAGTCTCTGAAGCAAGTATAGAAGAAAATAGAAAAAAAGAGACCAAATGGGAGAAAAAATTACCTTGCCAAAGAGCATCCCAGAAAGGACTGACTTGATGTATTTGTCTGTCAGAGTGCACAGAATATATATATATATGTATATATATCAACAAATATATAGAGTGCGTATATATGTATAACCTATAAAAAACAGCGTAAGAGAAAAACAGGAGCAACAGAGAAGGGACCAAACGGTCTGATCACCTAGCAACCAGCCATGAATCTACCTTTTACGCTGCCTTCAGGGCCGGTTTCAGGTACCTCTGTTTTCTCGTCGCAGCAGGATCCCCTCCGCCGGCGAGTTTGTGGCGCTGGAACGCGGCCGCGCGTGCGCTGCATAATGAACGGCCACCGCGCGTTCCCAGCCGGAGCGCTCCCGCTGCATGAGGCGGCCGCCGCGCGTCTCTCCGAGGAGCACGCTGTGCTGCTCTGCCCTTGCTCCTTCGCACCCGCCTGAGTTTGAGGAGCA